ACAAAGTAGGAGCGTCAGTTTGGCTGATAGTTGTCGGAGTGAAAGTCTGTCGTTGTCTGGCCAGTCCCTCAGGAACTGTAGGACGTTTTCGACGTCCCATAGTCGGGAATATCTAGGTTTCGGAGGCCTCTGAAATCTGATGCCCCTGTGGAGGCGGCATACCAACGGGTCTTTCCCAACGGGGATCCCCTGGGCCGGAACGTGGGCCGCCGAAATTGCGGAGCGCACTACGTTGAGGGATCGGTAAGATCGGCCCTTGGAGAAGAGATGCGAGAGAAAATTCACGATGGCTGTTATAGGTGCAGTAAAGGGATCAAGATTCCGCTCACTGCACCAAGTAGACCAGGAGCTCCATGCCGATAAGTAACATTGTCTGGTTCCTGGTGCCCATGAGTCCCATAGCAGATCGAGATGTTTGCGATAACTCTTCGGTTTGCCAGGCTCCCCTGAAAGCGTCCAAGCCACCAGCGTGAGACAGTCTTCCAGGATGAGCGGGTGTTGATTCCCTCTCGGGTCCGTAAGGAGCGTCGGATAGGACGGTATGAGGAGGGGATCTCTGTAGGATGACGCTAGAAGAACCGGAAACCATGGTTGACCCTGCCATAGGGGTGAGATGAGGAGCAGGGATCCGCGTTGGGTCTTCAGATATTGCATCGTCCTGGCTACCATGGCGAATGGGGGAAAAGCGTTCGCCCCCAAGGGTGGCCAAAGTTGGAGAAACGCATCTACTGCCTTGCTCTCCGGGTCTGGGAGCCAGCTGAAGTACTCGTCTGTCTGCCTGTTGTTGCGTGACGCAAAGAGGTCCAGGTGGAGGGGACCCCTCCTGACCGAAAGGCGCTGGAAGATCACTGGGTCCAGTTTCCAGTCGCTGCTGTCCCACCAGTGGCGTGAAAAGCAGTCAGCTGTCAGGTTCGTTTCTCCCGGGAGGTATTCTGCCATGAGGGAGATTTTCCGGGGTAGACAAAAGTCGAAAATTTCCTTCGTGATCTCTGAGAGGAGCCTGGATCGGGCTCCTCCCAGACGATTGATGTAGCGGACCGCTGAGATGTTGTCCATCCGGAGGAAGATGCAGCAGTCCGTCCGGTCTCTCGCTAGGCTGCGGATCGCAAACGACCCCGCTAGGAGTTCTAGGCAGTTTATGTGAAGGTTGGTTTCTTGGGAAGTCCAAGTGCCTCCTGTCGATCTGCCCTCGCTTGTGGCGCCCCAGCCCCACAGGCTGGCGTCCGATTCCAGAACTATGTCGGGTGCATTCCCGAAGATGGCTCGGCCGTTCCAAGCTTCCATGCTGTCCAACCACCATCCGAGTTCTTCCCTGACTTCTTCCGTTACCGGAATGTTTTGGTCGTAGGAAGGGTTCTGACGGAGGAAGGAGGCCTTCAGGCGTTGCATCGCCCTGTAGTGTAGTGGGCCCGGGAAGATTGCCTGTATAGATGCGGACAGTAGTCCCACGATTCGAGCCAGGCTGCGGAGTGGAATGGTGTTGCAGCGGATGACTCTGCGTAGTTCCTTTTTGATGGCTGTGATCTTTGAGATCGGGAGCCGTAAGGTGCTGGTCTTGGAATCTATCTCGAAGTCCAGGAAATGTATCGTCTGGGCTGGGAGCAGCTCCGATTTTTGATAGTTCACCACGAAGCCTAGCGTCAGGAGTTGAGTGGTATATCGTGTGTTTTGTGTTAGACTGTACCTGTCTGAGGAAAATAGTAGCAGGTCGTCCAGGTAGATAATGCAACGAATTCCTTGAGTTCGTAGTTGTGACACTACCGGCTTGAGGAGCTTGGTGAAGCACCACGGTGCTGAGCTGAGGCCGAAGGGGAGACATGTGAACTGCCAGGGTTGGTCTTGCCATAGGAATCTGAGAAATTGGCGGCAAGACCCATGGACGGGGACCGACAGGTAAGCGTCTGTGAGGTCCAGTCTCGTAAACCAGTCCCTGTCTTGGAGTAGATCTCTCAGCAGGTGAATGCCTTCCATTTTGAAGTGCCTGTACGTTACAAAAGCGTTGAGTCCCTTCAAGTTTATAACCGGACGGAATTCTCCTGATTTCTTTTTTACTAGAAAAATGTTGCTGAAGAAGCCCATTCTGTCGTGGGCCGTTTCTATCGCTCCTTTCGCCTTGAGCTCCCGTAGTTCGCCGTCGATGAGGCGGCGGTCCTCCTCGGAGCATTGAATGGGATGTGGGTGTGCGAGCTGGTAAGGGGGTTCTACGAAGTCGATGATGTAGCCCCGAACCGTCTGGAGGATCCATGCGTCCGTGGAGATGGTCGTCCAGTTCTGAAAAGACAGAGCAATACGGCCTGCACTGTAAGGGGTAAGCGGAACTAGATACACTAGATTGCTTACCTGTGGGGAAGCGTGCTCTGCCATGGTTACGAGGTCCTCTGCCTCGGTCTGCTCCTCGAAGGGTTGCCTGGAACCCACTTCCGGGTAGAATGGCTGTGGTCTGTGTGACCGGGGGCCAGAAGGCCAGAATCGGCTGGCTGCTCGGCCCCTGTAGCGGCCAGCCCGTCCAAAAACACCCCGACTGGGGTAGCCTCTGAAGACTCGTTTCATAGACGTCTGAGCCTTATTGAGGGACGTAAAGATGTTAACATGCTTGTTCAGTTCTTTTAAGAAAGGTTCTCCGAACAATTTGCCCTGTGCCAACGGTCCCAATTCTTTGGTGCCAAAATCCACCAGTTTTCCGTCAATACGGAGTAAAGCTGCCTTGCGCCTCTCAGAGGAGAGGGCTACGTTGGTGTTACCAACAAAACAGAAGCACCGTTGTGCCCATTCCCTAATATCATGTGCCCACTCTTTGACCATGCTAGAGTCAAATTGATCGGCCCTAGTGAACGCATCATCCGCCAGGTACAATATGCGGGAGAGTGGGCCGATTGAGTCCAGCAGTTTATCCTGGACCCCGTGGAATCCTTTCTCCACGCCCCGCCGAGGGTCGCGGCCACCTCGGGACATAAAGGTGTTCATCACCTGGTCAAACTCCGGGGTCTGTGTTACGTGGTCGGGGAGCGAGGGGCGCGGGCATTCAGAGCGTAGACGGTTGTGTACCGTTTTATCAAGTGGTTTGCGTAGCCAGCGGTGCATAAATTTGGAGAGGTGGTCGGGGGGGGTCCAGTCTCCAGAGCGTGGATGGCGGATATTACGAGGGTCAAAGAGACGTTGCCCCGTGGGGTCTAGGAGCGGGCGCGAGGTCGTCAGGCAACTGGATGTCGTCCAGGAAGGTGCCTCGTAAGAAGCCAGAATGGGAGCCGGAGTCCGAGTCCCAATTGTCATCGTGCGATGTCCGCGGCTTGCCACTAGTCTAACACGGCCATAGAGCCGTTCGTCCCCCTCATCCGAGGAGTAGTGGGCAGGAATAGGTGGGGTTGGTCTGTGGCGTTTGGAGGGTGCCTTACCCTTGCCAGGGGTATCGCCCGCTTTCTCACCTTTCCAGTGACGTTTGGTGGGGCGTGGATCCGCTTGTATGTGTGACTCAGAGGCCTCAGAGTCTTCATCCTGAGGTTGGGCCAGTGTGGCTTTTTTAGATTTGTCGGTAAATGCCGACATAATCTTGGACAGTGCTTTCTCCATAGAAGCGGAGATGGTGTCCGCAATCAGTGACTGGAAGTCTGTAGGGTTTTCTTGCTGGGCCTCACCCAGAAATGTATATGACAGTGTGGGTGGCACAAAATCCACTCAATCTGGTGTTAAGATGGGGTTGGGATGCCCCTTACCATATACATATATATAGGTGGCACAAAATCCACCTGATGGCAGCAGTGAAATAAGGGCCTCACCCTGTTAGAACTGTAGGTGGCACAAAATCCACCTAGTAAATAAATAATAATAGTGGACTCACCACTCAATAGGGCCAGCAGCCTCTGAATCCTTATAATAAAAACGTCAGTGACCCCTGCCAGCAGTACTTCTTGAAGGTTGCAAGCAGAAGCCCAGAACAATACAATACACCCCAGACGGCTGGGAGGTGGCTGTGGATGAGCGGGTTGCGGTCGGCGGCCGGCACTGCGCAGCCCGCGGGACTCCCAAAATGGCGGCCGAGAATCTCGCGAGACGCGAGATCCAAGATGGCCGCCGGGGTGCCGGGAAAGAGGTTTCTCGGCGTGCCGGCGATGTAGAATGCGGCTGGGGAGCCGCAAGGGAGTACTAGGGGCAGGGTGAGCGTTACCCTGAGAGGAAAATAAGCTGGGAGACCAGCGAAAAACGGGGGAAAACGGAGGAGAAAAAGGGAGAAACACAGATAGCCCATAAAAGGAACAAAGATATAATAAAATGAAACATACAGTGAGACATAACAGAAACTGAATAAAACCCCCCAGGACAGGAGGGAGAAGTCCCCCAGAAGAAAATACAATACAAAATAAAGTAAATATAACATATAATATATGAATACAGTATATAAAAGGGAAGAGCCTGAAACTCTGACCTGTCTGTTGATGGAGCAGTAAAGAAAGAGGGGGAGGAGCCTCATCACTGTGAATACTATACCTCCTACTGCATTTTGATTGGTTAATGTTTTCACTTTTCTTTACTGCTATGTGGAGTTAGTAAAGAGAGTTATATGCAAAATATGAAGCCTCCTGTCATGTGGTAAAATTAACCAGACATTTCCTTAAATGCATTACGGTATTTAATTCCTTGAAGGATTTTGAAGGTAGGAATCTAGGACCGCAACTGGACACCATTTGTTGTGGGTAGGATAGTATGTTATCTCTACTGTTGGTGCGTGTTGACTCGTTTCGGAATGTGGTAGAGCCAATAGGTAATGATATATGTGTTTACATACGTGGGATCGTTGAAGACAATGATCTGTCTGAGTGGTGGTTATGGTAGTGGATTCTCTGGCCTGAGAAAGGCATAAAAGGCAGTGTGCATGGCTGGTAATGGCCGACTTGGTAGTATAATTGAATGGTTGTAGCTCTAATAGGTCCGATAAGGATGGAAAAGTTGGATGGCTATTGGTAATCTCTGAGAGGAACCTGGGGGGATGGATTCCTGAAAACCTCTGAGTATATTCTTGTCTGGTATGATAGCATGAAGTTATGGTAGTTTTGGCCATAGGTTATCCTGTGTTGTTGAATGCCTGTAAAATATATAATTAATGGTGTGTGAGAGAGTTTTAGTTTAAGGTGGCAAAAATAAAGCAAAACCTAGGAGAAATGTTATGACACAGGTTGAGCTATGTCATGTTTCAATGAGATTCTTTAAAGCCAGGTGAATAGCTGTGTTATGCGTTCTACAAGTATGGGATGAAAGTGCAAGGTGGGATAGTGCATGCTATGCTGCATTAGTATGTCTAATCCATGATTTTGTCTCTGGAACGAAAGAGTGGCCGTGACTGTATCGGCGGCTGTAGGAAGCATATGATTAACATGCCTGGAATATAAATGAGACAATTGTCGGCAGGGATGTATACCCCCGCCTGGTACATGAAAGTAAAAGAAATGTGGTAAGTGGCCAACCAAGTGAGTTCCCCAGCAATACCATGATCGTATGGATGAGGAGTGGCATTTGTTGATGATATGACATGTGCTTAGTTGTCTGAGTAACAAAGGATTGATGACCCTGACCATGATTTACCCCATGCCAAAGCAGCTGCTTTTAGTGGGGAAAGGATTGCCCATTTTACGCCATGTAAGTGCCAGTGTGTAGGGGAGATGGTAGCCGTTTACTGCATTGATATTGGTCTTACTTAACCAAGCTTCAACCCATGCTTGAGTGATAGCTGTAAAGGTAGATCAATGGTGTTGTATAGTAAGGAAACTCCTCTGAGGGTATGAGGGAGTTGAGACTTTGGGTAGCGGAGGTGTGTGGTGCCAATAAGTCTATGGTTAGTCTTTGTTTAAGGGAAGATTCCCTTGTGACAATACCAATGTGTTTGTGTTTGGCGCCATGCTGTAAATGGTGGAGATTGGAAAACCCAAGTAAGAACCCCTCTGTAATCTTGGCTATGAGTGTGTTTACAGCCGACGGTTCTGTTGTGCTGACTGTAAGTGAGGGCATGCTATATTCCTTGAGGGTTTATTTATGATACCTGTATGGGAGCCCTTTGAAGCTCCAGAGCCTTAGTAAATCTACTACAAGTCTGGAAGGGTGATGAGTCAGTAGTGTTGAAAATACATTGGTGTGTACAGATGGTGAGTACGTTATTTGTAAGCTGTATTGGGACACATGGTTTGTCATGTGCCCTGAATGATTTCAACATATATGCAACAGTCTATATGCAATGCAACTACCAATACCAATTGTCTCTGGTAGTTCAGAGGTGCTGGTACCTGGAGCCTGAGAGTGCTCGTCCGTTTGTTTGGGAGAAAATCCCTTCTGTATGGGTACCTGCACAAATAAGCATCTCTACATATTCCAAATGTCAACACAACCATGGCATGGTCAGTTCCCGATTTACCTAGAATCCCTGGGTCTGACCATCATACATACATCATCATACATATTTATGCCTTGTTTCCCCAATGTGCCGGGATCATATGTGCAGGGTTAACGTCTTGTACCAAGAATTGATTGTACCAGGTAACCGACTTTCGGTTGGTGCTGGTTGTACAGTAGCGTGAGGGCTGTGACCGACTCGAGATTGCCAGTCTGTCGTACATTTTTTGGCTCATGAGTTTATGAGTGAGGCTAGCATGGCCTGGGTGTCACCTGAGTTGGTGTTGCTGGGCCTTCCCCTGCCTCCGTGTTGTCCGTTGATGTATGGAGGAGTTTGAATAACTCTGCTTTCCTTGCTGTGGCAGGGTAGGGGATTTGTCGCCTCCTTAGGTCGGAGCCACATCTCCTCTGCTTGAAGGTGTATCACTTCTAGCAGGGGTGCCAGGAAGAGGTGATTCTTCACCATCTTTTTGAGAAATACTTAAATAACAATAAAGATTGCAATTATTATTTGTACCCAGGGGTCTTGTAATGGCTTGCTAGCTAAGCCATAAGGCGAAACGATTAGGCTTGGTGTTTTTTGGTGACTGGTGAGGCCCTGCTAGTTGCCAAGTGGCTTGAGAGGCTCTATCTATGCTTGGCGCGAGGGGATTTTTTGTGGCCACCGAATGTTGTGGCAGGATGTTGGCCTCTCGGTGACAGTAACCAGAAAAATAGGAAGGGGAGTGACAGGTGAGGTCCTCCCTATGATACAATGCGAGGCGGCTAGCTCACGAATGGCCCGAGGGGTGTATTACGGTATTACGGTATTTAATTCCTTGAAGGATTTTGAAGGTAGGAATCTAGGACCGCAACTGGACACCATTTGTTGTGGGTAGGATAGTATGTTATCTCTACTGTTGGTGCGTGTTGACTCGTTTCGGAATGTGGAAGAGCCAATAGGTAATGATATATGTGTTTACATACGTGGGATCGTTGAAGACAATGATCTGTCTGAGTGGTGGTTATGGCAGTGGATTCTCTGGCCTGAGAAAGGGGTGTTGGCCTCGCGGGACCACTAACCGACACGTAAAGCAGAGAAAACAGGGGGTAATATCTAATGGGCCATAGAACCCTAATTGCCAGTACATTACTACTATTCCAGGGAAGGTAAGAGATGAAGGTGTATCACTTCTAGCCGGGGTGCTAGGAAGAGGTGATTCTTACCATCTTTTGAGAAATACTTAAATAACAATAAAGATTGCAATTATATATTTGTACCCAGGGGTCTTGTACCGGCTTGCTAGCTAAGCCATAAGGCGAAACGATTAGGCTTGGTGTTTTTTTTTGGTGACTGGTGAAGCCCTGCTAGTTGCCAAGTGGCTTGAGAGGCTCTATCTATGCTTGGCGCGAGAGGATTTTGTGTGGCCACCGAACGTTGTGGCAGGATGTTGGCCTCTCGGTGACAGTAACCAGAAAAATAGGAAGGGGAGTGACAGGTGAGGCCCTCTCTATGATACAATGCGAGGCGGCAAGCTCACGAGTGGCCCGAGGGGTGTATGCCTCAGAGTGTGAGGCGGGGTGTAACCGAAGCATAATGCAGAGAAAAAAGGGGGTAATACCTATTGGGCCCTAGAACCCTAATTTCCAGTACACTATTACTATTCCAGGGAAGGTAAGAGATGGATAACTACGTGAGCAGGTGTACGTACCTGGTAGTATGGTATTGAACCTGACAATCCGTATAGGTTTTTTAGTAGTAACTGTAACCTGAATGGATAAAATCGTATGGCATAAGGAAATATGGCATTGACCAAGCTTATCTTAAAACATACAGTATATGTGAAAGTAAAGTGCCGTGATATGTAAATATTAAACATCATATCCATACTGGTTAAATATGTATCAATCTTAACCCATTAAGTGCCGTATGTATGTTAACCATATTACCAGTTACGTATATACAGATGCGTGTGCTACTGTGTAATAATATGTGTATTTATAACAGATGTTGATATACTGCTTGCAATGTGAATTGTTGTATGCCTTATTTAATGGTCAGTGAACATGGTGTTGCAAAATGCAAGTGCACTGGAGATCTGCCGAGTGCCCTATAGGTGGCAGTGTAGTTGATACTGATTGGTATGTGAAATGTTGTTTGTCTGTTGACCTATAGGGGTCAGTGTTTTGGTGTTTGTAAAACCCCATGAAAAACCCCATGAAAATTGTCAATGTACTTGACAGACCTGTAGGTGGCAGTGTTGATAGAACCACTGTTAGTCTTGATGTGAAATGTAAATTATTGTGAATTAAACCTGAAGTTGAGCCAGTGTTGGAGTTTAATTTATGGTTTATGGTTATGTTTAAAACAATCTTATGTGTAATTTATATTGGCTGGTAAATGTATATGACATGTGAAGACAGTTTTGCTTTTGATCAGTAGGGGTCAGAAATGCTGATTGTATGGTAAAATACCCTTTAACCCCTGAAGGATACATGACATGTGTGACATGTCATGATTCCCTTTTATTCCAAAGTTTGGTCCTTAAGGGTTAATCCAAATGCAAGGTTAACGTGAGATCTGAGAGTGACCTGTAGAGGTCAGTGTGGTTTATGTGAAACATTGTTCGTGAGCTATGCCCCAGCATTATAGTTGTATGACAGGGAAACAAACAGTGCCCATTTGACAATATACAACAAGTGAACATAATAGCTTAACAACAGTCATTGTAACAAACCAAATTTCTGTTCGTGGGGTGTAGTACAATAGTAAATGCATGAACTAGTTCCCGTTTGGTAGAAAATTGCATGAACCGTGAGCCTGGTATGTCAGGGAAACAAAACGAAACGAGCAGTGAGATTCGAAATGCACGCACAGAATTGCTTAGTATGTTTAGACAATTGAAACAGAATATGTTCCCGTTCGGGAGTATGCTAATGCTCAAAATCAGCCAGTGACAGATATAAAAAAAGTGAGTTTAAACGAATGATATGCGTGAACATGCAATGGTTTTAGGACAGATTTAGACAAAATGCAGCCGTAAAGGGAGGACCTGACCCGTGCATGGTGCCGTGGGACTGATGCCTGGCGTAACGGGTAGGTCGACTTACGGTTTGAGAGTCACTTGGACACCATCCACGGTGATGGATTGAAGAAAGAAGGTGGTAGGCCGGAAAAGCCTGTGGCTGGATTCCTGACACAGCTCAGCTTAGAAAACCTCATGGAGTAATCAGGTAAAATGGCGCCTGGATGACCCGGAAGTGAAAATCATTCTGATTCTGACCTCAAGCGATATGAGTCAGGTAAGGGGTGTCCCTTATATAGGGGAGTGAATTAATTTAAGCCCCTCCCACAAATACAGGTCAAACGGCCTTAAAACATATATATATAAACACAGAATCCTCCTGCACTCAGTGAGTGCAGGAGGATTCTGTGTTTTTTTGTATATTGGTTTTTTTTTGTGGCTATAACCCTGCTCCTGGCACCAGCACTTTGTAAAATTATTTGAAATAACTGATTTTTTTTGTGTAAATCCCTGACACATCTAGCCAGTAATATACTGCAATAATATATTGACTTGTCGACTAAACCCTCATCATGGACGAATTTTTACTTCAAGCTGGAGCATATTCAGAACAAGCAGAAACTATGCAATTTACCCAAGAGGAAGCAGAGATTATTTCTGGGAGCAAACTGGTTTACAATTACCGCACAACGTAACAGCAAAGGATGTCTATTTTAAACTTTCTAAGCTTTATAGGAAGCAGATTGATTTGGACCTGCACAGACTTTTTCTTTCAGATTATTATAAGGCAAAACGAATCCTCAGAGGATTTCGGATCCTCAATGTACCCACTATCATCAAGGACATGAAAGAAGACTTAATCAGCGTGAATAAAAAGATACTTGATTGTGAAACAGAACATGCCATAACAGGCTTCTACCGAGGGGCAGAAATTACAACAAAAGCTCAAAGAGGATCTATTAAAATATAAAAATGAACTTAAGTTCAAGAAACAAAAGTTTGAAAG